AACTTGTCATAAAGCAATATTATTTCATAATTTCCATAAGAGGGTGAATAATTTTAGACTGCATCAATTTTTAGAATAATCAATGACTATGAATTGATCAAAACTCCTAAAAATTTCACGAATTATTCAAACTAAATATGCAAGCAACTGTTTATAATAAATTCAGTAAGTACTTGTAAATATTCGTATTTCCTTAGAGAATATGCAAATATTCATTAATATTTCCCTAACCCCCAAAATATTGCATACAAAATAATTAAATTTCACCATTATAGAGGTTGATATGACAGTCAACAAAAACAGCCTTTTTGCCTTCAAAATTCCTTGTGAGTGTTCAATTTTCTAAGCCCACTTTCCTTATTGTTTGTTTCAGAAATTCCTCTAATTTTAAGTATACGTGTCATTTTTGTTTCCATTTGCCTACAATCTTGCTCATGACTCACATGTTTCGTCCATGTTATTTTCAGTATTCTTCTATAGAACCATATTCAGGTTGCTTCAAGTCTCCTCTCGATCTGTAAAGAAACTATGCAGTATTCACTGTCATACAGGAGGATTTATATGACACAGTCGTTCAGCACTCTCTTCTTTCTTTCGAACGAAATGTTCCCGTTTCTTAGAACTTTCCTTCGCTTTTTGAAGGCTTCTTCTGCTATTACAATGGGAATTGGCATGCCTTATGAAGATTGTGAAATAAAAACATATCTATTAATTCTAGCTGTTTTAAGCTAAAAGATTTGCAGAATCAGTATGTCTAATTTCAATATTTTCTATAGGTTTTGCAAAATGACTTTCCTCGCCAAAATTGCAATATTTTTTAAGAATTCAATGGAAAATATGAAGAAAACCACTTAAATCTTTATACAATAATTGTGGTTGTCCCTCCTTTCATTAGTTAGTTTCTTAGTTCACTCGACCGTTACGCCCCGCCAACGCCTCATAAATAAAGAACTATTCCGTTTTGATTATTTGGAAAGAGGGGAAAAAACATTACTTGGTATCAGTGAGAAAATGAAAAACATGAAAGAAAGGGAACGTCTGTTTCAATGAACTGGAAAAAATTGTTAATTTCAAATCTTATCATTTAAGAACTTAAGAATTGTAATTCATTATAAACTTATCTGGACATGATTTTGAGCTATATATTTGAACTATTTGGGTGATATTTAACTGATTTGAATTTTCTGTTTTTCAAGAAATTTACTTTGAATAATTGCTTATGCTTATTTCGCCCTAATGGCTTGCATTGGTGCAAAGGATGATGGGAATAAGAGGAAAGGATGACAACGAGACCACATCTGCAACAAGACAGCGATGAGATGCATGATTGTGATGAAACCTGGATTGAAATTGAAAAAGCTATTGAAAAGGTTGTCAGTTTTATGGAAGAAAGCAAGCATTCAGTTATGACGATTGCAATAACGCACACAGGGTTTAAAAAAAAAAGTGACTTTCGTTTAAATAATTTCAAGAACAAAAGCAAAACGAAATGCAGAAAAAGTTGTGAATGACATTAGAAGAGAAAGAATCATTATGCAACAGCGATTAAAAAATCTTTGTTACATTATTTGTTTTGCATACGTGGCATATTTAATTTAATGAATTTTCATTAACATTACATAATTTATTTCTTTTTTCTTAAAATCAATTCCGTTATATTTCACTCACCATTAGCTTATTTTGTTTACTATAAAACATTGAAAATAAATGTTAAACCTGATTTCAGTTCTTTTATTTTAATCTAAATATAACCCCTCATATCCGGACATTGTAACCAATCCCTCATATCCGGAATCGCTCAAATCCGGAATCGCTCAAATCCGGAATCGCTCAAATCCGGAATCCCTCATATCCAAACTTTGTAACCAATTCCTCATATCCGGAAGGCCTTCTTAGTCCGGTTGTCTGGGATTCTACTGTACTGCTATAAAAAAATGTAAGCCAGTAATTAAAAAATCAACTAAGGTCATTAACCTTTCTTTTTCGAACATTTATTAGATTCGTACCAATTTCTGTAGTGTAGAACCACCTTTTCTCTTAAAAATCTTTTCCAGATATCTTAGCCCTCTACGTAAGTTCTATCATCACTAGCTGAGAATGATGTGTTCGAGGCTGTCTTCCTTTTTTATTGAAAGTATTCAAGGATAGAAATGCATTGCCTTGGAATATATATTCGGGTAAGTCTTGCAATGACAAGGAAAACGTTCACGGATGATTATTTTATGTGCTTTCGACTTTCATTATTGCACTATGTTAGCTATTTGTCGTTTGTTTGTTTTCTTTCATCGCCCTCCGTCTGCTCAAGACTGTGACATATTGAATATCTGACTTATTGAATGCTGCTGCCACATCTGATGTGGAGTTTCTCTCATGTATCTACATATTCTTCATAAAATACAAAGAACAATCTGCTATGTTATCGATCCTGACCTGGCATCTCGGATCCCATCACTTTCCCACCACTGTGACCTACCTTGCCTGTTCCTTTTCTATCAATATTTTCATGGCAATGAAAACACGATTGGCCGATCATGTTTCTTTCGATTCATGACTGACTAAAGCATAAAGTTTTTTTTCGCTGTAGCTTACTATTTCATGCTGCGATAAACTGGCTGCCAACCAAGGCTATAGGATCCAGTCTATCCTGCTATTCAAACCATAGCTCGAAGTGGGTAGAATGGATTCATAACTTTCCAAGGGCTATTTGTGTGTACACCCTTGTGCAAATTAATTAAAACAACCACTTTAGTTTCCTTTATTTCACCATACGGCCAGTTTTAGACCCACTGGAATGACAGAGTGTAATCGACTTCTATGTTTTCCTCAGATTAGGTGTGCATTAATATGAATCTATTTTCGTAGTCTATGATGAAATTTGTTTGGCCTTGAGAAATATTGCGTCATCCGTGATTGCAGTAGATTTTTATCATGCCCAGACACTATTGTCTCACCAGTCGATTAGTTGTCCTACGACCATTGTCTGCGTAGGACGTTACTCCAAGAAAGCGTACGAAAATTGTAACGCTGCACGAAGACAGTAGCAAGCCTTACCAGTGAACAAATCAGACTACGATTTAAATTCAATCGAGAATCTGTGGTCAATCTGAAAGGAATGACTTCATAGAATGGACATACGAAGTACTAACATGTGTACTGGGTCATGTTTGATTGGAAAAATACGAAAAGAAAGTAAATAATAACGGAATTATTCGTTTTGCTTCAATTACCGTATTTGACGGCACATAAGGCGCACTTGTTTTTACTAAAAATATTTTTAAAAATTCCTCTGCATCTTATATGCCATATGTAGGTTTAAAATTTGCGATAGTCGGCCGAAATTAGCTACCTGGCAACTCCTATTAGCTTAGACTTAAATATGAAGGAGCAATGGAACACGTGAACGGCAATGCCTGATCACAACCTTACACTTACAGGAATAATAAAAAGACCCAAAATTGCACAAGTCTGTGAATGGGTGAAGCAAGCTTGGGTTAATATTAGACAAGAAATTCTTGTGAAATCTTTTAAAAAGTGTGGCATTAGCAATGCTCTCAATGGAACAGAAAATGACGCATTATTTAACGACGATGATAGTTGTATTGAAAATGAGTATCAGTTTTGATAACGAAGACGACGAATTTTATGGATTTGAAGATGAACAAAATTTTAATGGTAACTGTACTGATTTGCTGAATTGTAATAATTGCTTAATTTTTATTTTGCTTTCTTACCTTTGAATATAATAAAGTTTTTATAGGCACGCATTCTTTTTTTCCTATTATTTTTCGTTTAATTGTAACCATGGCTTTGTTTAACCAAAATAATACCTCATAAATATAGCCTAGGCTGTAACATTGACTAATAATTTTTCTAATTTTACTAATTAATAATTTTTTTCTTGTTTTTCCCTGCTGAAGTTGGCGTACGTCTTATACGCCCGTGCGTCTTATACACCCGTGCGTCTTATACACCCGTGCGTCTTATATGCTGTCAAATATGGTAGTGGAAAGATTCTTTAACATTAACAAAAATCGAGGGAAAGACTTTGTTAAGTGAATAATTAAGTCTGCCAATGGGTGAAGCAAGCTTGACCCAATATTAGACCAGAAATGTAAAATCTTTTAAAAAGTGTGGCATTAGCAAAGCTCTCAATGGAACGGAAGATGGGGTATTATTTAACGACGATGATAGTTGCACTGAAAATGAGTGTCAGAGTTTTGATAAAGACAACGAATTTTATGGACTTGAAAATGAATAAAATTTTAATGGTAACTGTCCTGTTTTGCTAAATTGTAATAATTGCTTAATTTTTATTTTGTTTTCTTACCTTTGAATATAATAAAGTTTTTATAGGCACGCATTCTTTTTTTCATATTATTTTTCGTTTAATTGTAATCATGGCTTTGTTTAACCAAAATAATACCTCATAAATATAGCCTAGGCTGTAACATTGACTAATAATTTTACTAATTTTACTAATTGCTAATTTTTTTCTTCATTTTCCCTGCTGAAATTGGGGTGCGTCTTATACACTCGTGCGTCTTATACACCTGTGCGTCTTATATGCCGTCAAATACGATTTTTCATTCCGAGTCAGCTACGGTCCTCGAAAATTTAAATGCAACGTCAGCTCTCATCTCAGTTTTCTTTTTATTGTCATCTCTCACCATTAAACATGATTCCAGTTTCTTTCCCACTAAATAACCTATTACGCCTTTGCAACTGTTATTGGTGTTTATATTCTTGGTAAATATATTTGAATGTGTTTATTTTTTATACTTTTTTTTTATTTTATTTTTATCAAATGAAACACGGTCAGCCATTATTTTTTTTCGTTTTGACACGTACCTACATCCATTTTATATTGCCATATAATATATCAACTAATATTTTCAGGGGGTGGGATTTATTCTCTTTCAAAGGAATTGCGACGTTGTTCGACGAAGAACGGTGTCTGAAAGTCTTTGATCAGAGGACAAGTACAGAATCCACTGTCTAAGGTTACGGACAATATACTCTCCCCCTCTCTCTCTCTCTCTCTCTCTCTCTCTCTCTCTCTCTCTCTCTCTCTCTTTTCCGGTTGTCTGTCTGCACCGTCCTGAATGGAAATTTTAGCTTTTTATATCGGACGAATAGATTAACAGAACGTTCCCGGAAAGAACAGTCGACCGGGTGTTGTGCACTGATACAGGTCATTGAATCAACTGTCAAACAAGACGAGGAATAATGAAAACGGCCGGGATAAGACAGGAAAAGCAAACATATCTGGAAAAAAAAAAGCCTTATGCAAACGACAAGTAAAAAAAGAAAGTGTGTGTAGTGAAAAGATGAGTTCTGTTCTTGCATGGCTGTGTTGCCGCAAAGAAGCGAGGGGTTTTGCTGGGCGTGGAAGATGAGCAGAAGACTTTATTGAGGCGAAAGGTGAATAGAAAACAAGAGATCGCGATTGACGTTGCGTTTAAAATTTTAAAGATTGTAGGTGGATTTATGGTGAGCGGCTCCGATTGAAGAATCGGAGAGCCGAGTTCGAATTCCAGTCGAATCCATTACATTCACTTACGTACTAATGCACTTGGGAAATGTATGAGTCCTCTTCTTCTCTCCCCCAGCTATGGGTAAATGGCAGGACAGACAGAGTTATATAGCCTTGGATGGCAACTGATCTACCGCCGAAAGAAATGGCAACCTACTGCGGGGAAAAAATCTGCCTCGTCAGTCATGTATCGAGAGATACATGATCGCCTAAGCGTGTATCATGCATTGCACAAAACTGACTGAAATTCACTTACGTGCTAATACCCTTGGGAAAGGTATGACTCCTCTTCTTCTCCCCCACCCCAGCTATGGGTAAATAGCAGGACAGACCGGGTTCTATACCCTTGGATGGCAACTGGTCTAAAATCTGCCTCGTCAGTCATGTATCGAAAGATACATGATCGCTTAATCGTGTATCGCATAACTGACTGACTGAGGTGGCAAGGAGGAAAAACGTTGGATGAAAGTTCATCAGAGAAGAGAAATTACGTTTACATCTAGTTTGTTTTTTGTTTTTTAACAATAAAAGCGTGAGACCTAACAGCCAATTTAGTAATACGTTTGACTTTATTTGGTCAAAGGTACCATGGAAAGAAGTTCATTAAAATAACTGCCATGAAAATATTCATACCGTCATGACAGACCCTTCTTTGGATTTCCTCACTAAGTTTGAGATGAATAGCAAGTGTATCGGGCAAGACAGCAAGATGCAATGCAGCGAAGAATGATTGAATCATAATTGGGTAAAATGGATTCTGTCGAGAAAAAATTGTCTGTCATGTGACAGTGAACAAAGCTTTTTAGCAGCCGATTCAAAATCAATCGCTTCACTTGATGTCAGTAGAAAACCTGAGACCAAGAAGAGACGATGGAGGTTAGCATCAGCCATACGGATGGAAGGCAAAGATAGTTCCAGATGATGATTAAGGTATAGCAGTTTTTTTGGGGCGGGGGGCTTAAAATTTACAAGCCATCCCCGCTATTAACAACTGACTGGAGGTCACTGTCGAGAACAGCTGTCAGTTTTACTTTTTTCTTTATTTAGTTACTCGTTTGCAGCCTATTTCATACATATTAATAGTTAGAAAATAAGCTTCTATCTATCTATCTATCTATCTATCTATCTCAGTCTTTTATCTATCTATCTATCTATCTATCTATCTATCTATTTTAGTCTCTTCATATCTATCTGTCTATCTATCTATCTGTCTATCTACCTAACGCTGTTCTTCTATCTATCTATCTATCTATCTAAGTCTCTTCATATCTATTTATGTAAGTCTCTTCATATCTATCTATCTATCTATCTATCTATCTATCTATCTATCTCAGTCTCTTCATCTCTCTCTCTCTCTATCTATCTATCTATCTATCTATCTATCTATTTTAGTCTATTCATTATCTATCTATCTATCTATCTATCAGGCTTAAGGCTACTCTGGTTCTCGTAGGATCTCCGAAGTTAAGCAACGATGATTCTGGTCAATACCGAGATGGTTAGTAATAACAGGTTCTGTGAGTTGAATATATGGCTAGTGTAATTTGTTAGCGGCTCGGAATTAAAAATCTGAGAGCGGAGTTCGAATTCCAGTCGAGTTCAAATATCCTTTGGAAAATTATGAATCTGTCTCTTCTCTCAACCAGCTATGGGTTAATTAATATTACTTGTATAATTACAAATCATTATTATCTCCAACGAATTATCAAAAATAAAAAAATGTTCCGGCTTTTAAATAACGTTCAAAAAGAGTGATAAACCATAAAAAACATCTTTGTATGTCTAATTTTTGAATGTCTTTATCTAACTTTTAATATTATTTTGTTCTTTGTACACAATAGTTTAAATATCTAATTCAAACTAAACTTTATAGACAATTGAAAAATTGAACGAATTACTTAGAAAGCTAAAAATAGAACACTGTGACAGGTTGGGTCTGCCTTCGCAAGAAAATTAATGGCAAAATGATTATTTAAATTCTCAAAATACTCGGTTCTTTGGGGGATTCTGTAAACGCCTAGTATTATCGTTCACAGAACTGCGTTGATGTTTATTGTGGTAAAATGCGTGAACGAATTTCTGCATCTTTATTTAAAGTTAACCCTTGCACAAAAATTAAACCTTTAAACATATATATAGATAATTCTTTCAATTTAAACTGTTCGCATTTGAGATTGACAATAACAGCATAGGTAAGAAAATCTTCGTCGTTTTTTGGTGAGATTTAAGCATTGCCAACGTGTATGGAATATAGAGGTTCATTCCTTGAAGATTTTCGACAAAATTAACAGTTTTATCAAATGCAATATTTCCTGTTTATTCTTTTCAGTTAAAATTTAATTACAATATTTTTTTGTGATGTGCACGATTTCTTTAGAAGTAAACATACTTTTACTGTATTAAAATGGCTTACAATTTTTTCTTTGCTTTGATTTGCAATGACATTGTCTATGACCTAGTTTTCCACATTGGAAGCATTTTTAATTTTTGAATAGGCAATCCACCTTAAAATGAAGTCGCCCGCAAACGTAACATGGGTTCGTTGTAGTCATTTTTTTTCTTTTTTGTGCTTTGGTTTCATTGTCTGCACTTGTACAATATTCTTTTCTTCAATTTTTGTAATATCATGCCTTAAATTTGGAATATTTTGACATTATTCTGTTATTGTCTGGTATGGATAATTTTGGAAAATGTATGAACGAATTTCTGCGTCTATACTCGAACTTAACCCTTGCGCAAAAATTAAACATATCTGGCGACAATTTAAATGTTTTGCATTTACGATTGACAATAACAGCATAAGTAACAAAATATTCGTCATTTTGGGGGGAGATTTAAGCATTGCCAACGGGTATGGAATAAGGAAGTTCTTTCCCTGAAAATTTTAGACAAAATTGACAGTTTGATCAAACGTAATATTGCCTGGCTTCTCAGGTAAAATGTAATTAAAATCTTCGACAAAATTCCCTTAAAAATAATCATACTTTTCTTTTTCACATGGCAATCTTTTTTGAAAATTCCCTCTTACCTTCTGAAATACGACAAAATCCGTAACAACTTCATCAAAGTTATATAAATTTTCGCCAATGGAGTTTGCGATCGGATCAGTCATGAATGAAACTGGAGTACTAGTTTCGTGAATGAAACTGAAGTACTAGTTTCATGAATAGAACTGGAGTACTAGTTTCATGAATGAAACTGGAGTACTAGTTTCGTGAATGAAACTGGAGTACTAGTCTCATGAATGAAACTGAAGTACTAGTTTCATGAATGAAACTGAAGTACTAGTTTCGTGAATGAAACTGGAGTACTAGTTTCGTGAATGAAACTGAAGTACTAGTTTCGTGAATGAAACTGGAGTACAATTTCGTGAATGAAACTGGAGTACTAGTTTCGTGAATGAAACTGGAGTACTAGTTTCGTGAATGAAACTGGAGTACTAGTTTCGTGAATGAAACTGGAGTACTAGTTTCGTGAATGAAACTGAAGTACTAGTTTCGTGAATGAAACTGGAGTACTAGTTTCCTGAAAGAAACTGGAGTACTAGTTTCCTGAAAGAAACTGGAGTACTAGTTTCATGAATGAAACTGGAGTACTAGTTTCATGAATGAAACTGGAGTACTAGTTTCGTGAATGAAACTGGAGTACGAGTTTCATTTGATTTCTGCAACATTGCTTCAAAAATCCTTTTATAACGTTCCAATATTTGTAGTGTTTATTGTTGTTGCAATAACTTTTTCCCTTTTATTCCAATAATTGTTTTACCACCAGTTTCCTGTTTCTCATATCCTTTGTTGACGTGAGTTCAAAAATTCTTATAACATCAGAATTAAGATTTCTTTAAATGCTCCTATAAGTTCGTAGTTCTTGTCAATAATATTACAAGGAACAAATGATTAGTGATGAAACTGTTTAATTGCATCCATTAATAATACAATTATAACGAATACCGTAGTCAGTGCGGCAATGCGTACGACTCACTTTGTGACTTCTGGTCCTGTGAGTTAACGTTCCTCTCATAAAGGATAGATGAATCTCTGTTCAACAATTTAGAGTAGCGAAGGTCGGTCGCCATTCTGCCCAGTAGGATAGGATGTTTGAATTGAAAAACAAAGCATAGGCTTAAAGATATTTGCTTTTAATTTCATCTTTCCACGAACTTTCAGAATGCATTCTCGTATAATGGAGAAGGCCATAAAAGCAGAAAAATATGCTTTGCTATCGTTATATATAGCCCCATTTGAAAGAAAGTTGTTTCCTGGTTGTGTTTTTTGTTTGTATTCTATTTAATACCGAATAAACAAAGTTTTAATAAATAGCTTTCATTAAGTTTTTAGACAATTTGTACAATACTAAAAAAAAAATTACCATTTTTCATTTTTTTTAAATACAGCATTGATAAATCGGTGAATTTCTGAAGCGAGACTTCGGAAAATACAATTGATAAGATCTTTAGGATTGAAATTGACATGTCAGCATTCCATTGTTGCTGTAATCGTTTCCCGCCATTATTGAAAAGACATATTTCATTCGACAAAGTTTGCTTTCACTTTCATTTTCAATAAAGTCCTAAATCAAACATCAGATGAATGGACACATTATATGAGTCAGGTTAATTAATAACACAAATCAGAATGTGTCCGGCCGTATGAATTTAACAAATTCAATATATTGCACACTAATTTAAACAAAAAAAAAAATTAATTACAGTTAAAGCGCTTCCCTCAGAAGGATTAAACAAAGGAAATTCGAGATTTACGATTGGCTCTTTTACGCTGAAGTCATCATTCAACATCCACCTCATCGATTTATTCCTTCTTTTCATCGGGCAAGCATTGACTGTGGCGGTATTGTGGCCGCGCACTTTGCAAATTTTTTTTTTCCATGCCACTGAAAACACATCCAAGAAATAAATTTATTGAATTTAAGTTGATTATTGCATTTAAGTTCTATGTTAACAGCTTCTTCTATCGCACTTCTCGCCTGTGGAACTCTCTTCAGGCTCCATACTTTTCGGCCAACTTTGTTCTTGAAAAATTTTAAATGCAATGTCAATCGTTATCTACTCTCTTTCTTATTGCACTTCTATTGTTCCCGCTTTTTCAGAATGTTTTCGGTTTTTTTCCGGATATGGTCTGGTCTGCTTCGGCTACATATTTATAGATTCTTGATAAAATCCAAAGAAGAATCAGCAATATTATTGGTCCTCACCTGGCATATCGTCTTTCCACCGACGTAATGTAGCTTCCCTGTGCCTTTTCTATAAATACTTTCATTGTTCAAATGAGCTCTTAGCTATGGTACCTAGACATTAGGAATATTTAAGCGCAGTACTATATCAGCAACATGGTATCATCCATTTAAAGTTGAATTGGCTACATGTAGCCGTAAGTCCTATGCTAACAGTTTCTTCTATCGCACTACTAGCCTGGGGAACATTCTTCCGGCTACATGCTTTCCAGCCAACTTTGATCTTCAAAAATTTTAATCGTTATCTACTGTCTTCCTGATTATTCTTCTATTGTTCCCACTCCTTCAGAATGTTTTCGGTTTTCTAATTCTTCCGTATATGACCTGGTATTCCTGCTATATATTTAGAGATTCTTCATAAAATCCAAAGAAGAATCAGCAATATTATTGGTCCTCACCTGGCATATCGGCTTCCAACCTCCGATATTTATCTTCTCTCAGCCTTTTCGATTAATAATTTCATTGTTTAGATGATCTCTATTTACATTATTCGGACTATTGTCCTCATCTTTGTAGCCATATTTATCACAACGTTTCGTGCGTTGTACGCTCCGGCCTTCTTCAGATTGTTGGAATGTCGAACTGAACCCATTATTTCGCTAACTGTGGTAGATCTAACTACCGCCTTTATCTACTGTGCCATGTGTCCGCGAGGCTTAGTTAGATCCAGTACAGGAACCAAAGAGTGTGAGTTCAATATCTGGTTAAGGCAGTGGAGAGCTTCCAGAGGGCAATTAACAGGAGGTAACTGACATCCATTAGATCTACCCCAGTGAGCGAAATAAAGGGTTCAGTTCGACATTCCAACCACCTGAAGAAGGCCGGAGCGTACAACGGCTGAAACATTGTAATAAATATGGCGACAAAGATGAGGACAATAGTCCGAATAATGTAAATAGTGTACATAATAGCTCATCTCAGAAATATACACAGGTACTGAAGGGCCGAAACGTAATAAATATGGCGACAAAGATAAGGAAAATAGTCCGAATAATGTAAATAGTCTACATAATACCCCATCTCAGAAATATAGACAGATACTGAAAGGCCGAAACGTTGTAATAAATATGGCGACAAAGATGAGGACAATATTCCGAATAATGTAAACAGTGTACATAATACCTCATCTCAGAAATATAGACAGATACTGAAGGGCCGAAACGTTGCAATAAATATGGCGACAAAGATGAGGACAATAGTCCG